TATTTTCCATTTTTTTGCTTGGGACTATATATAATAAACAGAACATTGTACGGCGGCTTGAAGATATGACTTTTATCTTCTCGTGTTAAAAACTATATATATATATATATATATATATATATATATATATATATATATATATATATATATATATATATATATATATATATATATATATATATATGATACAATACAATACAAATTTATTTAGAACCTCCCCTTAGGGCTTTTCAGGTCTAATTACAAGTTTATAAGTTACAATTTACAAGTAATGAGTTTATAAATTACAATATTTAGTATAGATATAAAATTGAGTGTATAAATTCAGAATTTAAAAAGTTATGTATTAGTTTTAAAAATTAGGCATTAAGGAGCCAGGTCTTTAATGACTGTTTAAAAGTGTTCAATGAAGTACTCTCTCTAACATTGTTCGGTAAACTATTCCACAATTTAATAGCTCTGTATCCAAATGAACGTTGGGCAAAGCTTGTTCTACATTTTGGGATATCAAGATTATGGCTATTACGAGTGCTACGATTGTGTACGTCAGAACGTCTCTTTACAAAATTTTTTAAATACAACGGTACACTACCGTTAATAATTTTATATACCATTTGAGCATCACGATAAGCTAACATGTCCTGGACTGATAACCATCCAAGGTCTTTAATTGTGGATGAAATATGGTCAAATTTCCTCTTGCCAGAAATTATTCTAGCAGCAAAATTTTGAACCAGTTGTAATTTCTTTATATTCTCTTTAAAGGTACCTGCCCAAACAGTCGAGCAATAATACAATTTACTAAACACAAGAGAATTGATTATAGATATCAGAGTTTTCTTATCGAATAAGTGTTGAACTCGGCTGATCTGACACAATGATCCCATAAGTTTAGATGTAAGATTCTGGGTATGATCGGTAAAAGAGAGACATTCGTCCATTATTATTCCAAGATCTTTTGCACAGCGAACTGGGGTTAATTCCTCACCAAGAAATTGTAATGGTGGTAGATTAATCTTGGACAGAGCTTGCTTGGTTCCAAACAAAAGAAATTTGGTTTTCCCTGGGTTTATTAACAAGGAATTTGAACAACACCAGGCAGCAACTCGTTTTAAATCTGCATTCAATTTGTTCATACTCTCGGCAATATCACAGATTGAGAATGATAAGAAGAGTTTTGAGTCGTCCACGAACGATTCGATCTTACAGTCCTTACACATGCTGCTAATTTCATTAACATACAAGTTAAATAGTAGTGGACCCAAGATTGATCCTTGCGGTACGCCGTGTGTAACACGCTGCATATCAGATAAATGCTGTCCCACTCTAACAGATTGAACGCGCTCGCTAAGATAACTTCGAAACCAGACAGTAGCTGACGCACTTGTTCCAAACTTTCGAAGTTTTTCCAACAGGATATCGTGACTTATACTGTCGAACGCCTTGCTTAGATCCAGTAATATCACAGCTGTAAGATTCTTTCTATCTATAGATTGATATATACACTCCGTTAAAAACAGCTGCAAAGTTTCAGTGGAATGGTTTTTACGGTTACCACTCTGGTGTTTATTTAACTTATTAGTTTCAATCAAATAATCAGTAAATTGTTCCAATGCAACACGTTCAGTGACCTTTGATAGTACGGGTAGCAATGAGATAGGTCGATTATTCACTGCAATTTCATGATCCCCCTCTTTATGTAGTGGTATAACCTCTGCTTTTTTCCACTGAAGGGGAAAAACCTCTTGACTAAAGCTGGCATTAACAAGGCCTGTTAGGGTTGATAAAATATGTGGGTAACAATCCTTAAGAACATTGATAGAAATTTTATCATAACCTGGTGCTTTATTGGATGGCATATTCTTTATCACTTGTTCAATTTTGGTGTAAGATACTTGGTTGAAAAAAAACTGATCAGATAAAGGATAACTTTGCTTCGGTTCTGCAGACGCCGATAGCTCCATAATTAAGTCGTACTCGATCGCCAGTCTTTTTGCAGATTCTGCTGTCTTTTCTCCTACTGATATGAAATAGTTGTTAAATTGTTCACACAACTCAGAAGTGGTTTTGTGTAGCATGGCTGATCATTTATCTTTCTAGGGATACAACTGCGAATGATTTTCCAAATACATCGTGGTGCGTTTTGATTTAATAGGATTTGTTCGTGAACATAAAGTTTTTCGGCATTTCGTAATTCGTTCTTAACCTTGATCTTATATGCTTTAAATACTAACCAGTCCCTAGTTTGCGAGGTTTGGCGAGCTATCTTATGTGATAAATCCCTCTCTTTGATCAATGATCTGATTTCAGGCGTAATAAATGGTAAACGTTTTGTTTTCATTTTAATGTTTTTTATGGGAGCATGCTTATCCAATACACTAAGGAACAGGTCATTAAATGTATCAACCCTATCGGACACGTCATCCAGTATCTCTACCGTATCCCAGGGGACATCCGCGATATCTTTTGCAAACTCACTGGCTTTATAATCCTTATAGCTTCGAACGTTGCAAATGGTGGGGCTAGTTTTCGGTGTTTTCAAATTTAGTTTAGCCGTAATAACATAATGATCACTAATGGTCGACATCACCACCCCGCTTTCCATAACAATACCAGGGTTAGAGACTAGAATGACATCAATTAGAGATTGAGACGATGCCGTTACTCTTGTTGGCTCCGTAATGAGTTGGGTCAGATTCATTGTTATACAGAACGTCACGAGTGCTTGAGTATCAGGACTCTCATTATTCATTAAATTACAATTCAGATCACCGCAAATGACAATGTCTTTATTGTAGCATAAAGCCTTAGTATACGTAGGCATGAAATACTGCTCCAAGCAGACTGTTGGGCAGCTTGGAGGTTTATATGTCACGCATATTAATATAGATCTCAATTTCCGGTTTTGGACTTTAATCCAAAGCTGTTGAAAACCTGTATCAGATGTTGCAGTCAATTCCCTAATGGCATGGGCCTTAAGACTAGTATGAACATAAGCACACACGCCCCCGCCAGATTTCCTTAAACGATCGTGTCTTATGAGATTATAGCCTTCTATTTGAACTTCGGCATTTGATACATTAGAATTCAGCCAGCTTTCTGATACAGCAAAAATCTTATATTGGTTATCCAAAATAAGTTGTTTAACTTGAACAAAGTGTTCCCTGTTCTTCAAAGAACGTACATTAAGATGAGCTATAGTAATATTTTTGCCCCGGCCCGATTGTGGCAAACTTTGATCTGTCTGGGGTGTAATAGATCTACCTTGCATTGGAATATTAATACGACAACTTGAACGGCAAGCTTGCTTAATATGTTTCTTTTGACGATATCTCGAGTTTGAAATAATTGTTGGTATAGCCATATGGTTAACATATACAAGCCGTCTAGGGGATTCAATCCGCCTAAAACGATTGACATGATTGTACCTTGTTGATTGCGTGTTCATAGAGCATGACTGGCCTCGAGCACAACTTGACTTGTCCAACTCGGAAATTCCGCTACAAATTTGAGGTCCAGGGTTTGATGAAACATCTACACACACTGTTAGGTCCGTCTTAAAAGGCTTCGTACTAAGCACCAAACTTATGGGTCCATGTTTCGTTTGTTTAGCAACAGCAAATGGGATTTTTAATTTCGACTCGAGCATAACTCGTTGTATACTAACACGATATCCAAAAGCAAATTCACTATAGATTCCCGAGATTGTACCATCCTTCGCTAATCCATCGACATTCACAAAGATAACAGTCTTAGCTTTAACATTTGTTGAACCGAAGAGAAAAAAAACATTAAATAAGATAAATATCAAGTAAAATATATTCACACACATCTTGTACTGAAACAGAAATTAGCAGGCCAGTTCCTGCGGAAATAGCTCGGTAGTGAGCTTTGTGATAACGTAAAACAGCCAAAACGCGTACGCGTTAATTGCCTTATTTTCGGAAAATCGCATCAAATATCGCATCAAAATTCGGAAATTTACCCAAAAAACCAAATATCTTGCCCTTTGCGCGGAAATATTTAACCCAAATAGCAGTCCTACCAGAGGCGTAGACAGGGCTGGGCCGGGGGGCCCGGCCCCCCCCTGGCAAAATTTTGGGGCCCCCTGGCAAAATTTTTGGGCGGTCCCCGATAAAATGTATTGTATAAAAAAGGTAATCCTTGATTATATAGCTTCATGCTGTCAATAATGCAAAAATTCCGTAGAATATATGCTTTGCTGGGCATCGGTGTGAAACCTAAAATCACTTGTTCGCTTATTTGCGGCACACAGCTTGAAACACATACCTTTTCTAACACTAAGTATTTCAATATGTATTAAATGAGGGTTAGATGAAGTTTAAACCAATCTGTTTTTGCGAATTTTTCGTTGTGAACGAAGGCAGAAGAACGAAGACGAGATATGGATTCATGTCTCGCTGTTTTGTCGTGATCAGGGTAAGGATTTGGCTCAGCATTCATAAACAGCTAGACATAAATCTCTAATCTGTCTTGACGCCTGACCCTAAACTCAGAATGCGTAAGATAATGTGCAAGACAGGCAAAAATTGTCAACCACGGTCCACGTCGTCGTCGTCCGACTTCGTTCTCTTGCTCGAACTCTCTAATGTTGTCGGAATCTTCGTGGTGAAGCATCGGAAAAAGTGATACGGAAATCGGGAAAAGTGCTACGAGGGGGGGGGAGGGAGAGATTTAAAATGTTGTGTGGTCCGCAAAATTTTTTCTTGCGCGAACTTTGCGTCTCGAGTCACTGGCGGCTTGGCCCCACCTGGGTTTTTGCCGGCCCCCTCTGACCGAATATCCTGGCTACGCCTCATAGTCCTACCGACTGAATAGCAGTCCTGCCGACTGAATAAAATTTCTGGGGGGAGGGGTGTCACCCCCCACACACACACACACACACACACACACACACACACACACACACACACACACACATACACACACACACACACACACGCATCTCCGGTCCTGCATTCGGATCGATAATGGCATGACCAAAACATCCAGAACGACCATGCATACTGAGCATGCTCTTCACAAGCATGACCAAGAAATACAACACACGTGTAAGTAAATAGCACAGTTGTTGGTAACCGGTCAGTGATGCAACAAAATTAATTGCGTAATATTAGGTTACAACTATTGTTTTACCTTTTAAAGAGTGAGTATCATACCAGTGATCCTTTGTACACGTGTGTTAACATTTTATGTTTACATTCGGCTGTATCTCATGAATATACTTTCATTACAAACATTTCATAAAAAACACGCAACATTTTACAAGATACAATGTGAAATAGTATATATATCATGTATATTATAAACTTCATTTAATTAAAGAAGAAACAGTTGTTTTCAATGAGATACCGATAAATATGGGCCAATACAAAATAAATATTGGAGATCACTTACATAAATATCTCAAGAGTCAGCCATTTTCTGGGACGCCAAGCGCCCACAAAGGATCACTGGCATGATACTCACTCTTTTGAATAAAATATTAACATCGAATAAAACATTTTAAAGTACAGCTTGATTATCATAATATTTGTTGTAAGAACGTGTATATTTCGGTAAGAATATGAAAAATACTCGCTTCCACCCCTAATACCCACGTTGCGTTGCTCATTTCATATTGTTGAAAGCGTTTTGATCAGTGTTTTGATACAAATCTTTTGTGAACAACAATACCACGTTTGTTGAAACGCACAATTAACATACATGAAATACAAACTCCTTACATGGAATTGGGAGAACTCCCATATAAAATGCTTTTTAAATACTCATAATAAAATGAAGTATGATTTAGCATCTGAAGGTGTATTTATAGAAGATGTGGAATTTTTGTACGATCGATTTTGCTTGTTCAATGATGCCGTAAAATTTAGATCAAATTAACAGGAAGAATATCATGCAGGACAGTCAGATTTTACTTCTAAACGTCTTGTTAATATCCTGATCATGAAAATTATGTCCGATATTCTCTAACCAGAGTCTAAAATATTGATGTACAATTTCTAAGTTTGTAATCTTTTAACATATCGTTGTTGTTCATGAACACACTGAGCAGTGATGGACCAAAATACGATACCGTAATAATAATCATGAACGAGTTAATTGTCACGTGACGTAGCCAGTACTTTGACGAGACTTTTTGCATTGGAATGTCATAATGGCGAATTTGAATGAATACTGAGATTATGTTGAATACAAAATCTATAGCCAAACTTATGGCTATCTTGATTAAAGAACTTTTTATTACTTGCCAGGGTGGAACATCGAAGCTCGTTACAAGATAACAGGCTAAATATGTCTGACTTAAGATGACCGTAGAGTACTCAAATAAGATATTCTGGATTTCAAGATCTGCGTTGAAACGACGAATACGCGGTGAATTTAAAGGTTGCACTGTTAATCTTGGGCCGCAGCATGATCGATTGTAGAATTTAATAACAAACGTCCAAATTTTTATCCGCCAGTTAAGAGTTGCCTTACTTAAAACGTTCGATACACCATGTAACAATGATAATCCCATAAAAAGCCAGATATTTTGAAAACCCGACTGCATAGTTCGATACACTACAATGGAACAACCACGTATGAAATAACACAATGCAAAAGCTCGATCCGGGTAAATAATCTCTGAATTCTTTCTGACAGCAATGTATTTTGCCAACGCATTCAGAGGGATCGCCATTCCTGGAGTAAATGCGGCGATTATTGCTTTTTGAATCCTGTTTTCAGTTTCTCTAAAATACTTGACAAAAATACTGGCGTAGATGTAAGTAGCTAAACAGGAACATAGGGAAGTGAACGAAAGGATGAAAATAATTCGGGACATACTGTACGATGTTGTTGGATTAACTTTCTTGAATTTACGAGCAACTAGATATGCGCCACAGAGAATGGAAAGCATGAACAGGATATTGAAAGGTATTCTAAAAAAAGTCAAAGAAACAATTCATTCCTTCCGTAAAATCTGCATGGTGAGTCATGTAGTTGGATGATTATTGATTCGTTGGTACTATTGTTCCCAGTAAACTGTGAAACGACCGGTTTTTTAGACGGTTTGTCAGTGACAGTTTTGTCAATACGAAGGACATATTTGTGTACCTCGTGATCACAATTCGTTGCAAGCGGCGTATGAAAAACTGCAAGTTTCAGTTTGATAGTTCTGACAGTTAAATGGTTTCTAATTTCATTCTCCAATCAGGTGTGTAGTTTTGATTTAAAATTCAAAACTACGCATCTGATTGGACAATAAAATTAGAAACTCATTTAACTGTCAGAACTATCAAACTGAGTTTTTCACACGGCGCTTGCAACGAATTGTGATCACGAGGCACATACCCTGGTTCCAAAGGTTTATTTTTATTATTTTCATTGCGAAGGGGAGAGGAAAAATAAACCTCTGGTTGAAAGCGGCAATTGATTCATCGAGCCGCGCCAATCAGTTTGAATTAGGGTCAGATCCTGACTCTGTCTCCTGATTGGATGATTGTATTAAAGCTCTCTGATTGATTCAAATAAAACATCTATAACCAATCAGAGAGCTTTAATACAATCATCCAATCAGGAGACAGAGTCAGGATCTGACCCTCAGAATTCAAGCTGATTGGCGCGGCTCGATGAATCAATTGCCGCTTTCAACCAGAGGTTTATTTTAAACCTCTGGAACCGGGGTAAGAGGCACACAAATATGTCCTTCATAATTGACAAAACTGTCACTGACAAACCGCCTAAAAAACGGTCGTTTCGCAGTTTACTGGGAACAATAGTAAGTGAAAGATGATTTCCACACCGTTCTGCCCATCAGTTCTGCGCATCAGTTCTGCTCATAACAATGGGGGACCCCCAGATATAAACATTGCCCAAATTTTGAATCTTTCGGACTTTTTTGAATTGAAACGTAGAGTTTATATTCATTTACAAGCATAGCGAACCAGAAAAGTGTTAGATATTCAGTTAGTATATCATCGTAAACCTCCGACTATAAGCCCTGGGCTTATATTCTTTCGTAAGCGACTTTTGATGGGCTTATACAATGGGGGCTTATACATGGACGATCTTTTGTGTTAGTGTAATAGTGATAAACAAGTATAGTAACAGTGACAAACAAGTGGGTTTATATTTGGGTGGGCTTATATTCGGGGGGGGGGGCTTATATTTGGAATGAGGTAAACGTTAGTACATGTGGTGGGCTTGCACACGGGGGGGGCTTGTATTCGGGGGGGGCCTTGTATTCGGAGGATTACGGTATTTTACAATATAGCAGTTCAAAACGTAAACATAGTTCGCGCATGCTCACAGGAGTGGACATCATCTTTAACAGTTTGGTGAATATGTGAGGGTCTGCACGAAAAATTATTCGAAGTAAGCAACTATATTACATATTCAGGGTGAGGAATGTCATTGATTTATGATTGTATGGGGATAATATATTATGTCCGGGAAAGCAATTATAAGTCTACATTGAGAAGAGCATCCAAAAACTCAAGCCCCTAAAAGTTTAAATACCTGAGCCCTATACGTCTAAAATATAAAATACCCGAGGCTGTGAAGTACCTGTGACAGTCATTATACATTATTATTCAGCTCACTCCCCATTGGGGCTTTTCAGTGACCGATTACATCAAGTAGTACGCAGGGGCGTGGCGAACGATTCCAGATTGGGGGAGGGGGGGGGGCGTCATACCATAATGACCAACTTTTTCAATGAAAATGACCAACGTTTTCGTGTTTAAAAATTTTTTTCTCGAAATTTTTTTGGGCGACCTCTCAAATTTTCGGTCAGTGTACCATTTTAGGGGTAAAAAAATTTTTCGGACATATCGCATTTTTCGCGACATTAAAATTTTTTCGGATATCACAAATTTTCTCCGTTTATCAAAGAACTTTTTCTAAAATTCTGAACATTTTTTTGATTTTCTAAAATTTTTGTAAATAATATAAGATTTCATTTAATTAATATTTAAATAATACTAGTACGCTTACTTATGTTACTTAGCTTACACTATTTATCTTTACAGCAATTGTGATATTACTTTCCCAACTGTGTTTATTCTAACCCACCCTGCCAACTTGCCCTGCGGGAGGAAACCGGCGCGCCCGGAAAAATCCACGACTTTCGGCAGGGTGTTGACAGACTCTTTTCACATGAATCCGCAGCGAGGATCGGACCCACGACCTCAGAGGTTAAAGGCGCTTGCTCTGACAACTGCGCCACCGAAGCTCCCTTGGTATTAAACATTTAGGATAAAATACGACGGGAGGTCGCGACCCCCATGTAGGCCCTACAGATTCACCAGCATGCAGTTTAATAGCGTCATATCCTCTAATGCTAGATAAAACTTCGACTTTGTCTCTGTCGCTACTCACCAATAATCACCTAGCCTTCGGCGAAAAATTGTTAATTATTTCTGTTTTCTACATTTATATTGATATTTTGTAAAGGGCCCACTGTAATTGGTGTTAAGCTGTTGTGCTGTCGCAGCTTCTTTAATGCAATTATTGTATGATGTTTGGAAGCGAAGCACAATAAATAAATAAATAAATAAATGCGACAAAGCTAATTAAATTCCTGTCTTTTGAACCCTAATGGCATTGTTTACCAAGATGAACTTTACGCCTTCCAGTCGATAAGCTATGCGTATACAGGGGCGAAACTACCGGGGGGGGAGTGGGAGCTGTGAAACCCCCCAGTCTCTATCCCGGGAAAATTTTGAAAATATTTGAGTGTATCGAATTGGAAAATAATAGTTGTGGAAAGAATTTTGATAAATTTACGAAAATATTACTCTAATATTTTACAAATTACGGTAAATTATTTCAAAAGTAAGTGAAAAATGATATGTCCGGAAATTTTTTGCCAACAATTTTGGGAAAAGAAATATCGATTAACGAACCGAAATGTTCGTCCGTCGGGAATGACTTTCGCCTACGCCCTTTTGGTTGGGCAAAACGTCAAGTCCACACCCGCCCTCCCCCCAGCCGTAATCCCAAAGTTTCGCACCTGTGAGTATAACCAGTGTATATAATGCAGGTAAAGGCCCAAAAATTTAAATTATGGGCTTTAAAAAATCAAACGAAACAACAAATACCAAAATTCTCAATTGGAAACGAAAAACCGTTCAGCTAACACAAGAGTGCAGTTACCTAGAATGGCAGCCGTGTGAAGAAACCACGGACTTGTTATGCACCCATTGTATGCACGCATTACTTGTATTCAAGTCAAGATAGACAAGTTCAACTAGCAACGAGCCTATTATGGAAAAAATATTATGAAATTATGAAATTACTAAAAATTAATATAAATATATATATTAAATATATATATTTAATATTAATTAATATTAAATTACTATAAATTATTATGAAATTACTAAGCCAACATTTGCCTTACAACTTCGCAGAAATGATTCGCAGAAATTTCGCCTGGGTTTCTGGTAATTTGCCCTAAAGCAGATAATGCTTCTTCATGATACGGCAAATTAGGCTGTGCCTCTTGCTCGTACTCGCGTTGTATCAAATCATCACGAACTTCGTTTTGTTCAGGATTTTCTCCGAATATTAAGCTGCGCTACAGTCTATTGGTAACGTTGAATCAAAGGTTGAATCAGTTCCAGAAAAAAATGGCGACAAAAGAATCAATTAATTCCTCCAGAATCATTATCTGATATTACTTGTATATTGATATCAGAATCATTATCTTGATATTACTTGACCGCTGGCATTGAAATGATACAAATACCATGTTATGAAAATAATATAAGTAACATACAATAACATCCTGTTTTCAAGCACGCGAATGCATGCAGATATATGTTCGCTTTCTTAATCTCTTGACCAAAGACAATATAGATACTCACGAAGGAAGTTAGTACTTTTTTAAATCGAATTTTGGAATTGAAAAGATTTTCATGGCAGCTGTTTATGAGATGTTTTGTTATGATAGTGCTTCGGCGAAATCGCAACTTTTGATGTATTGGTTAGACGTTTACCAACTTCTCCTTTCGATCGCAGCAGTTCTAAACAACCTTGTCTTTTTCGAAATAAAAATCGATCATCAATGCAATAATTCGCAAGATATATGACATTGATATGTTACAAATATTATTACATATATATGGGGCTTCGGTGGCGCACTCGCCAGAGCAAGCGCCTTTCACTTCTAGATCTGAAATCGTGGGTTCGATTCTCGCTACGGGCTCATGTGAAAATTGTCAGTCAACGCTCTGCCGAAAGTCGTGGATATTCTCCGGGTGCTCCGGTTTCCTTCCGCAGGGAAAGTTGACAGAGTGGGTTAGGATAAAGACATGCAGTTAGGAACGTACGTAATACCTCAATTGTTGTAAAGATAAATAGCCTAGGCTATACGGAAAAAAAACGCCGAGCCCGCTGCTCAACAGGACTAAACAATGTTACACCCGATTCAGGCTCAACAATATTGTTCAATATTGTTGACAAGTGTGAACAACGTGGGCAGCAAAACATTGTTCAATCCTGTTTTCATCAGTATTGCAACAACTGAGCGTTTTTACGCGTGTAAATAAGTAACATGAGCGCAATACTTGATGTAATCGGTCACTGAAAAGCCCCAATGGGGAGTGAGCTGAATAATAATGTATGTATGTTTGTATGTATGTATATTACTAATTTGCATATCCCGTTGAAATATAGCTTTGATATTATAAACAGTAAATGCATCGTACTGTATAACGGGATGCTCTAATCCCAACTTGTGATAATATGAAATAAGTTGCTTTCACAACTTCCTGTTTGATATTAGAGAGCTTCAGCAAGCAATGTTTTTGACTGACGGAAGATACTAGGAACACTTCCTGCAGTTATTGCCTGCATTGATGCTTATAAAAATACATGCACTAGCTGATGGAGAAATATTACTCACTCTAGTGCAACTCACGTCTATACTGCGTCTGCCCACTTTCACTCCAATTTATATATCAAGATTTTGCGCTCTCTATATATATGTTGTTTGTTATTAGTGAAGAAGGCTATTTTGCCAACAATTTTGGGAAAAGAAATAATTATAGCGACTGAAATGTTCGTCCGTAGGGAACGACTTCGACCACACCCTTTTGGTCGGGCAACACAAGCTCACACCCCCCTCGCCCCAGCCGTAATACCGAAGTATAACCAGTAGTGAGTGTATATAATGCAGGTAAACCCAAAAAGTTAAATTATGGGCTTGAACTAAACGAAACAACAAATACCAAAATTCTCAATTGGAAGCGAAAGATCGTTCAGCTAACACAAGAGTGAAATTACCTTGAATGGAAGCTTAACCCTAATATATAGAAATTTTACTTCAGCACTATTAACGCCACATTTGCTATGAGAGAAAAATATTAAATTTTTATAATTATATATGCAACAAAACTTGGTAATCAAAGTTTTCGACAGCATTATATAACCGATTATTTTTTATACAGGGTGTATCAAAATAAAAGTAGACAATTTTGAAACGGCTCTCAATTTCACAAATCCGTTCATTTCATGAAATTTTTGATGAATATAGATTGTTTGGGTATACGTTATAAGTACCCAAAAATGTCACGAAATGCTTTGTGAAATTGAGAGCCGTTTCAAAATTGTCTATATGGCTACCTTTTTTATACACTCTGGATAACTCAGCAGCTAGTGATATGCAGAGCAGCATTTATCAACTTAATTTCCGCAAGAAAATATTTGATCTCAAATTTGTTTCCAAATTTTCAAAGGTTCCTACACGGAGGTTGATTTACACGAGTGTTGATAAAATTGGGGAAGGGAGGGGAGTGGTGGGGGAGACCATATGAAGGCAAGAAGATCGTACCCTTCCACACTTGTCCTGCCTTGTGTGCTTAGCATAGCTTAGCTTTGCTTAGTTGAGCTATACCTTTAATTACTCACCAGCATACCACTCACCCGTATTTGCTGTAATCAGTGATAGTTGTCTCTAACTTATCAAATACAATAATCCCATAAACACAAGCGATGGATGCTGCCACCAACTGACAGATAAACAAACACAACAGATAATTCTGTTTGAACTCTCCGAAACCCCGCAAAAGATAAACGGTTGTCGGAAACCATGCATAAAACGGCAGTAATTTCAAAGACATCCCAGTTATTTGTAAACTCCGCACGTGTGAAGAAACGACGAACTTGTTATGTACCCATTGTATGCACGCATTACTTGTATTCAAGTCAAGATAGACAAGTCCAACTATCAACGAGCCTATTATGAAAACAGCCTTCGTTACTAAGCCAACATTTGCCTTACAACTTCGAAGAAATGATTCGCAGAAATTTCGCCTGGGTTCTTGATTCATTTGTCCTAAAACAGATAATGCTTCTTCATAATAAGGTAAATCGGGCTGTACCTCTTGCTCGTACTCACGGTGTATCAAGTCATCACGTACTTCGTCTTGTTCAGGATTTTGTTTGAATATTAAGTTATAGTCTCTTGGTAGAGTTTCCCTGGACAAAGATGGTGTTTGAATCAGTTTCGAAAAAAGGGCGACAAAAGAACCAATTAATTCTTCCAGAATCATTATTCTGATATAACTTGTATTTGTCTCCAGCAGATGCAGATGTGAAATAATACAAATATTATGTTCTGCAAATAATAACAGGTAATATACATTCAATCACGTCCTCTATTTAAAGAGGCTGTCAAGTCCGTTCTGCGCATACGTTCTGCGAAGGCTTACATTCCAATTAATATTTCGTATATTTTGAACTTTCTTGAATTGAATCTCTAGTCTGTATTCATTTACAAGCATAACGAACTAGAAAGTGTTAAAAATGTAGTATAATATATATCTAATCATATTTGACAACTGTAGCACTGAGTTCAAAATGTAAACAAAGCGTTTGTTTACATTACGGACTTGACAGCCTCTTTAAGCACTCGAACGCATGCAGATATATGTTCGCTTTCTTAATCCCTTTACCAAAAAATTGGAAAATTATGAAGACGATATATAGATACCCACGAAGGAAGTACTTTTTTAATTCGAATTTTGGAATTGAAAAGATTTTCATGGCGGCTGTTTATTTGATGTTTTGTTATGATAGTGCTTCGGCGAAATCGCAACGTTTCATGTATTGGTTAGACGTTTACCAACTTCTCCTTTCGATCGCGGCAGTACTAAACAACCTTGTATTTTTCGTGATTAAAATCGATCATCAATGCAATAATTCGCAAAATATATTACATTGATATATGACATATATTACTATAATTTGCATATCGCGTTGAAATATGGCTATAAACAGTAAATGCATGGTACTGTACATGTATTACAGGGTACTGTAAATCGCAACATGAGAACATGATCATGAAATAAGTCGTTTTCACAACTTCCTGTCTGATATTAGAAAGCTTCAGCAAGCGATGTTTTTGACTGACAGAAGATACTAGGAACACTTCCTGCAGTTATTGCCTGCCTTGATGTTATAAAAAAATACATGCACTAGCTGACGGAGGATAATTACTCACCCTAGTGCAGCGCACGTCAATACTGCGTCTGCCCGCTTCACTCCAAATTATTATTAAGATTTTGCGCTCTCTATTTTGTTTGCAACTTCTTGTCTGAAAAAAGAGAGTTTTTGACTGACGGAAGATATTTGGGAACATTTTCTGGAGTTATTGCCTGCCTTGATATCTAGTGTTTATTTTAAAAACAAATTCTCATAGATGAAAATGATTATATTCACACTAGTGCAGCGTACTTGAATACTGCATCTGTCCGCAATGTATCAAGTATCAATATATCAAGATTGCCATAAATAATAAAAAAGTTGAGTGCGCTCTCTAGTTGTGCCCATTTTTTGTGTTCTGCTGTCTTTTTGTGGCAATTGTATACAAACTCGTGAAAATCTGGCAGTGAGATACAGTCAATGAATTACTGTTATTACCAGATTTCTTTGCCACCCTAATTCCATTCAATGCTAAAATAAAATAATAATAATAATGTAAATAACTGTTTCTAATTTTGAATATATCTAATCAGGACCCATGTCACCAGTAGTTATTGTTATCATGTTCACAAATGATTGGCGCAGATGAAAGTTGCGGTAGCCATATCCCCAATATTCCATTTGAATTATGAAAAATGTTTATTTAATTAATCTTCCTCAGTGTAACGATTTTAATTAATTGTCCTTGATTCTGAACAGGACCGGAACTTCAATTATAAACCCTGCCCATACAGGAACGGCAAGTGTAAATGGATGATACTTAATTTTTTTAAAATTAGCAAATAATTTAAATATATAATAGAAAGCTAGAAACTAGTAAGCAAAATATTTTAAATTAATATGCTAGTCTCTTATTTTGTTCTGTTTAGATGCATGGTAATACCTATAGAAGTATAGTATATCGCGCGGGCTTTGGTATAGTCAAGCTGGAAGAACCCTTCTCATATACGACATACTGTACAATCATGACAAACAGATGCTAGGCCTACTGCAGGAATCTTTCCAGATCGAAGGGCGGAAAGACACATCCACTAACGGCCGCTTTGTTATCATCTCCCCAACTGTATATGTTCCGAATAAAAAATAAATTAAATTAACTGATTATCCTGAAATATTCATTACATCCAGTTTACATACCATAACGAGGCATTTTGATCACTGTAAAGGTTAGATAATTATGTTACAGTAGTAACCGTTCGAGCCCCTTTTTCAAGGCGGCGCAGGGCAGCGCATGGGCGGCGAATCATTAAACATTCAGGGCAGCGCATCATTGAAAATTCAGGGGGGCGCGTCATTAAAAATTCACGGCGGCGCGTCATCAACTCCCTTATTTTCGGTGGTGGAGTGTGGTAGAGTGTGGTGGAGTGGATAATCTTTCAACACTAATACTTTAAATGATGTAATAATATCTTTTTAAAATTCAAGAAGCTTGTTGTCATTAAGCTTGTTACGACTTGTAAACTTGTTGGTTTGCAAACTTGGAGCAACTTGTTGATATTAAAGTTGACATGGTCGTAGAGTTGTGACAAGTCCGTTTCAGCAAGCTTGTAGCCGACGCTGTGGTTACAGTGTGTTCCACGTCTCGGTCAACAAGTTGTAACGGCATTGTCAACAGCAAGAGTTTTCAGACAAAAACTAAACTTGAACAAGACCAAATCTGATTGTTCTCGTTGTTGGTATAAGCATTGCTTTAATGATACACTGTGAAAGACCATGCTGTTGCATGCAAAGCAGCAAAAACGGATTTTATTATTAAACAGCTAAACGTAATTTTTAAGAAAATATGAGATTTTTACGTGTCTGTACAGCTGAAATAGATCAATCAATGCTCCATAAAGACATCTCCATCAATGCTCCATAAAGACAAGCGCAAGATGCCATTATGCGAATAATTAGTTCATTTAAGGTGGCTCGATACAGTTTTCAAAAATTCAGGTGTTTAACACTTTGACATGTTCAAACTACGCATTTTTAGGATTTATTCAGCAGATATTGCTTTTTTGTATATTTTGATAACTCTACTTTCAAATTATATTAGTTTTAGTAACAGATAGTTCGTTGCTGACGACATACGTGTACGAAATTCACTCCAAAATGGCCTATCGTCTTGTATAGTTGGAAAAAGGCATTATTTTAGTGCATTATTTTACTTGGACGAAAAGCTGACAATTAGCAAAATATAAAAAATTCTGTGATGTCATTTTTTTGGAAAATGCGAAAATGCCAGTTTCTTCGGTAAAACTTTTTTGGCATTACAGAATATTTTTATTTTTTGTATAATGAAAGTTTTTAGCGGTGCAATACAGCATGCAAAATTTGAACATAGGTCACCAGAAAAAATAAAGAGATATAGCGCATTGTTTTTCTAAAATTGAAAACTTCTAATGACGTCAGCAATTGACATAAAACGCTATAGAACACGCGCAATGGCGTGATATGGCGCAAGCAACTGCTCACGTCAGGTCATTTTGGAAGTTCTTTCATTTTGTTAATCAGTTTCCGCGACCCGCGCGTAAAAATGATCACCCGGTTTTGAGTTCGCGATTCTTGAGCAGGGTTTTTGTGATAACTATATCGAGCCACCTTAAAATGTACAACTTTTCCAATTAGGAGAAAAGAATTTGCAGTATCAAACAATCAATCGGCAATTTTGCTGATTTTATGTCGAAAATCAATTTCATGAGGGGGTAAGTTTCTTAAAAAGGGCAAATATCAGGTTCAGGCAAAATCTGCACACACATGTCACCTCCCGCTACGGGTAGGGCCAAATATCGTGTGCCCACCAGGTCAGTCTAGACACTAATTGTGTTTTATTTGAAAAAAGTTATTTAATTCAAACAAACGAAAGAAATTTAATTAAAGCAAATGTATTATAATCCAAAAAGTTATATTAAAAACCTTTACATGGATGTGGCAGAAAATAAAATATTTACTGGCTTAAAACAATGGTTTCACCTTTGAGAGAACAGTCAAGAGCATATCAGTCTTAGTTGACCTCATAATATGGATTAAAAAAAAACTTTGCATGCGTGGTAAAGCTCGCGAGTGCGTGAATACCACTAATTATTCGTTCTGGTGAAATGCGATACTTGGATATGTAGCATATAAATATGAATCATTATGCTTAGATTGTAATTACAGTAATTATATCTCTCAGAAGAGTTTCTTCACCTTGTTTGGCAGTGACACCTTCATTATAAATATTGGGACTTCAAATCATTCCGGAAGATAACACTTGACAGGAGTATCGAAAACATTGGTTGCGAATGTTGACAAAAAAGGCCTCGATTACAACGTAGTACGTACTGTAGTTTAATTAACATTCGATGGAATTATTTAATAGCTTTTAATTAACCTAATAATTAATATAAGTCATGCAGAAGTAGCATTGCATTAGTTACAGTATATAGTATTTATGAAGTTATGACGGAAATTTACGTATATAATTATATAACTACATGAGGCCGATTCGCGTGAGATCCCTCACTGCAGTGGTTGTTTTCATTCAACTACAGTATTGCTCTCTACTTGTATATTGTACACTCTAGCTACTTCTACACAAGTATCACAAAGAGAAGTTAGTAATTCCTAAGTTTACTGTCCCGATCATGATTCTAGAAGAACTATTTGGCAGTTTTGTGTCCCTCTCTTCTAGTTTGCTTACCCAAGTACCACCGATATCCAGAGCACGTCTGCAAATGGGATTCACATTCATATATGAGGCATGTCCTGAACAGGACGAAGTAAGAAATGACCTAATACACCGTGAATACGATGAGGAACCCGTGGTAGAGTTGCCTTATTATGAAGAAGATATACCAGTTTTGGTGCAAGATGACAAACAATCCAGGCCAACTTTCTGTCGATCGTTTCTCCGAAGTTTTCAGGCAAATTTAGGATTAGTAATAACGGTTGTTTTCATATTTGGCTTGCTGACTACTGGGATTGTTTATGTGGATTTGAATACGACTAACGCATGCATAGCATGGATGTACAATAATTTCAGTGTGCCATCGAACGTACGGATCTTACGTATGGCGGGAATGTCTGTCACATTACTTCCACTGTTTTCATGGTTTCCGACATGCATTCTAATGTTGTGGGGTGTCAAAGAGTTCAAAAAGTATTATGCATTGCGTTTATTTATTTGTCAGTTGGTGGCATTGTCCATAATATGTGTCTACAAATTGTTTTTTTATGATACAATAACTACCAGTGTTGCATACAGGTAAGTTGTGAGGTTGCTGTCGGAGGCAACCACTTTTGCAACTGATATTCCCCTCAACTGATATTCCCCTATCTTGGGGGTGGCTATGACTCACCCTCGACCCAAACAAACAAACAAGTACTTATAAATCTTAAATGGAGATTTCTAACAAAAATACATTAAAAGGGATGTAGTCTTTTACCTCTGGCAAGTGGAACCTCGCCAACAACATTGTCCGGATAAGGAAGTGACAATTGGAGGTTGATTAATAAAGGAAATTCTATATTTGTATCACGACTCTAATTAAATCTCTATCTGGTTTATGTTTAGCCGTAATGACTTTGAACTAATATCAATACAGCCGATGTAATAGATCGGTGGTATGTGTCTGCAATCAGATCAGAAAGACTGCTTTGCACGCCGCATACAAAATACAAGAAAGATCCCTAGACTATTTCACATCGTTGAACATAACTTTGTCACGACGGTTGCGGCCAAATGGTAACCAGGCTTTTGTGTCAAAACTCAAATTAAGTAAGGGACACGTTTATAGAGATGATCATGTATAGAAATAACTAAAATCAATACTGTTCTAGCCTCCTCCGCAGGCATCGCCTTTAGATTGGCGGGCAAAATCTGGTTGCTGGAAAAATAAAGTACGTGAAACACGAGATGCCTGTGGAGGAGGCTAATACTGTTCGAAATGAAAAAAAAATTAAAGACTGGTCTAAATTATGCAACTTGCAAAAACGCAGGGAGGCCCAGGACCCCCTCTCCCCCACCCTCGCCTCCTCCCCCTATCCTTCCTTGATCCTCTAACTACCTAACCCTTTAACTACAGTAAATTACCTTCAGGTCTTCAAGCTGAGGAATTTCAGCGCGGTACGGTGCTTTATGTGAAACTGGCGGGAATTGTGGAAAAGTTAATGAATTTAATGAATTTTCATTTTTTTAAAATTTTTGTTTGTTTTATTGTTACTGTCACAGAATAACTAATAAAATTAACAATTATAGTATTTTAACAGGTAAATACTCTTTCAGTGTACAAGGACACTGTTATCAATGGAGAACCTGTCAAATAAAACGAGTATAAAAAGACTACACTAAAATGTCACTATATATAAAAGGTTTGAAAGTTGAAGGTTAAAAGTATTTGGGGGTTAAAAGTAAAGGTTAAAAAACTTTTAAGATGTGCTAGTTATCTATAGTCAAGCTCTGAAAGTATCCTGTACTTTAGATCTAAACTTTGTAACAGATAATTCATCTTTTAAACATTGGCGGCGCATTTCTTTATTCCCATTCCAATGTCATTTATATGCACTAAAAATATAGCAATGGCCCCAATATTGAATCCTGGGGGACTCCATTTGTCACGGGTCTCTCATCTGAATTTACACCGTCGTATTTGACATATTGTTTCCGATTAAATAAATAATCTAGCCATTCCAATTTTGTTCGTGCCGAATGCCATACGCTGGTAATTTAGATAGAAGAACCGAATGATCCACTGTGTCAAATGCCTTCTGCAGATCTACATGTACCAGTCTTGTATAATTGCCTTTATCCACCATATCCATGCAGATATGATCAGGCAATAAAGTTATGGCTTGGGTTGTATACCGTCCCCTATGAAAACCATATTGATTTTGGTTCAATAGCTTTTTACTTTCCAAGTATTTGTATATTTGTCGATGGACAGTCGTTCTAGTACCTTTGAAAATATGGAAAGCGCCGAAATTGGTCTATAATTATCGAAATAATCTCTGCCATTAAATTTAAAAATTGGTGTTATTTTGCCACATTTTTCAGTTGTGGGAAATAATTATTGTCAAAGTGACATATTGGCAAGATAGCAGAGGGGAGATGATATTTCTTCAGATCCATCACAAAATAGGTTTAAGTTTGGTGGTAATATATCATTTCCAGCGGCCTTACCACTCTTTAATGCCAATTTATTATATAGTTAAATTCTTTATTTATAGTACCTTCATTATAAAGTATACAGTACCCTATCAGTACCGCGCAGATCATTGCGTATACGGCTGAACTTAAATCTTTCTTTGTTAAAATTTACAGCGTTTTCTAGTTCTACGGAAAAATCTCTATTGTCCCTCCATATACTGATTTTTCTTAGTTTTCCACCCACCGAGCAAAAGTAGGAAGAGAAACCATTTGAAATCTTACTTTTGTCGGAAACGCTGACTCCATTCGGCTTACGCGTACGCAGGATATCCAGAATTACTCAGACCTCGGTCAATGTTACTGCTTCAGCCTTTGGCTTCGAAAGATAACATTGACCTCGGTCGAATAATTCAGATCTGGATATCTTGCTCAACCTCGTCCAATAATTGTTAATTAACCTACTATACCTACTGACCGATCTACTAGTCTACCTATACTAATCGGGCTGACTGACCGGCTGATCGACCGACCGACCAATCAACTGATACACGAAAGCCCTGGAAACGAGGTTGACTGATAGACTGACTGACCGAAAGATTAACCGATAAGCCAACATCGTACTAAACGACCAATTGAATCGAATTAATGATAGAATAAAATATACCAGTCGACCAACGAAAACGTACCAACAATAAATTACTATTTTCTCAATTTCTTTAGATTGCCTGGCAATGTCATATTTGTTTCTTCCATCGTCTGTTGTGCTTATCTAGTCGCTCATAAATTCAAGAAAGTCAACCAAGAAACATCATACAGTGTGTCGCGTATCTTTTTCATTATTTCGTTCTCTTTTTGGGGCTCCTGTTTACTTTCTTATTGCTACGTTTATGTGATCATCAAGTATTTTACGAAATCTGAAAGTCGGATAAAAAAAGCCATCATCGCCTCGCTCACACCAGGACTAACCATCCCCTTTACTGCGATTGCAAAATACCTTGTTCTCCGAAAGAGCTCCGAGATTGTTACAGCGGATCGGGCTTTTGTATTGTGTTATTTCATTCGCGGAGGATCCATTTTACTGTACCGAACTATGCAGGCAGGTTTTCAAAATATCTGGCTTTTCATTGGTCTATCATTGCTACATGGAGTCTCGAATGTTCTGAGTAAGGGAACTCTTAACATTCGGATAAAAATTTGGAAGTCTTTTGTTAAATTCTACAATCGATCATGCTGCGGGCCAAGATTAAAAGTGCAACCTTTAATTTCACCGCGTATTCGTCGTTTCAATGCAGATCTTGAAATCCAGAACATCTTATTTGAGTACTCTGCGGTCATCTTAAGTCAGACATATTTGGCCTGTTATCTGATAATGAGCTTCGATGTCCCACCATGGCAAGTTGTAAAAGGTTCTTTAGTCAAGATAGCTATAAGTTTGGCCATAGATTTTGTATTTAATATAATTTCAGTGTTCATTCAAATCCACTTTTATGACGTTCCCATGCGAAAGGTCTGGGTGAAATATTGGCGGCGTCACGTGACTGCTAATGCATTCATGATCATTATTGTATCATATTTTGGTGTATCACTGGTTAGTGTGTTCCTTGGTCACAAATACATCTTGACAGAGTACAAACTTAGAAATTGTACGTCAATGTTTTGAACGCCCTTTAAATTAAGGCATGATCATCATTTCACGACGGAGAAATTCGTCGAGAGAGATTATAGCTGCGAAATATGGATGGCTGCACTTCTACAGGGTGTATAAAAGAAAACTGAACCCTTTCAAATTCAAATTAGCTATAACATGTTGTAGTAATTTGACAGCTCTAATTGCTTTGAATTAATGGTTGGGTAAGAACACAACGTCTTGTACTCATGGGACAAAACTCTTAAAAACTTTTAAATTTTCTAATTTTTATTTCTTTGAGTTTCGTCCCACGAGTACAAGACCTTGTGTTCTTACCCAACCATTAATTCAAAGCAATTAGAGCTGTCAAATTACTACAAAACGTTATAGCTAATTTGAATTTGAAAGGGTTCAGGTTTTTTTATACACACTGTAGGGATTCTTTTGAAAATTATATAATTTATTATTAGCATGACAAAATTACTGGATGCTGATTGGTTGAGAGGAGTACAATTATTCCATTAATTGTACTGCAGTACAATTAATGATTTTCCCAAAACAAACAAAATGCGGAAACGTATTTTAAACACAAGCGTGAAATGAAATTGCCTTGGAGGAACTAAATGAAAATACGAACAAAAGCACCAAAAATTGCTTGAACAAAATAACTAAATAAAAATACAAACAAAAGCCCCAAATTTTGGTTGAAAGTCTGGCAGGACTGGGCTTTTGCGAGAGAATATGATGTTGACATTGAGAAGTACGTATCCAATTTTGCCATGCTAATAATAAACAAGTAATCATGCGATGTTGCTCGTACAATTAGGGATTAATAGTACTCGTGATGTTTGGAAATTTGCCAAATAGACCTTTCCTCTTATAACCAAAATTTTGATCTAGGCAAGTCTAGACAAATATTTCATCACAGCTTGAAAGAGCATCACAAAATTAGTAATATTCCAAAGTTTCGTTGCGAAATGTTGTAAAATGCGGATAATATAGCCTTGCGAAGTTTGCAATTTTCGGTCGACGTCATTTTACATTACAAACGGGAAATTGCAGCCCCAACACCCGAATCGGATGTCAATTTCCCGTTTGTAATACAAAATGACTGAAAAACGGCAAACTTCGCAAGGCTATATTATCCGCATTTTACAACATTTCGCAACGAAACTTTGGAATATTACTAATTTTGTGATGCTCTTTCAAGCTGTGATGAAATTTTTGTCTAGATCGAAATTTTAGTTATAAGGGGAAAGGTCCATTGGACTCGCCCCGGCGGCTCGTCCAATTTGCATCACATGAGTTACCTATATTAATTCCAACTTTCATCGCCTTTGTGGTGAGCAGAACATGAGAACAAACTTCTTTTAATTAAGCTTCGGATACACAAGCAACGCTTTTGCCGCCATGGTAATGCAACGGTTAAATTTATTTCATTATTTTGAAGCAATGTAAAACTAAAAGAAAAACATATAGCGTTGGTGCAACTTTTTTATAAAGTTTCTCATTGACTGGTCAGGAAACGTGTTAAATCATCAACCACTTCCAGAACGGAAGTGAAATTTTGGCAACAATTGTTGCTTTCGGTTGCCATCGCAGAGTAGGAATCCAGAGCAATTGATCTTCAGCCCAATCACAACCTCATTCCGAACCATATTCTGAGCAAAACATGAGGATATAACACATTATTTTGATCACCATTGCATTGCCCTCACCAGAAAAATATTGCCCGTGTATCCGTAGCATTATACCAAACATGCAAGCTTATAACTATGTAACGTTATGGTTCTGCAGCTTGTTGTATAAAAATGTAATTAATATATAGTTAGGGCAAACCTTTTACAAATACGATTTGCGCAATTTAGAGTTACTATACCCAGTGCCGGGTTATCTGAGAAGCAAAAGAGGCATTTGCCCCCGGCCCTAGATTTCCACTGGCCCAAAAACAACGAATAAAAAATAATTTATAGTTTTCCTTCAAAAGTTTATATAATTAATGTGATCATCGAATAATTAAATTCGTTGCTTAAAGCAACCTCACTTAGCTCAGTGTTTACCATAACAAATATATACGTAACAAATATATACCTATACACGTGCATGCGCATTTTTAAAATATTCCAACCATACGGCATACTGTCACTTAAACAAAACTATACTACTGAAA